TCATATAGTTGTGGTGAGGCCAAATGAGGGCTAAATGTATTCATATAGTTGTGGTGAGGCCAAATAAACCCCAAATGTGACTTAATAATGATATATAGGATGGCCAAATGAGGGTTGAGTGTGATGGTGCAGACATACACTATGGCCAAATGAGTATATGAAAAAGGTGATCGCACACACAATGGTATAAAGTATTCTTACTATTTGGTGGCAGGTCGTTCCTATGCACTGTGAACATAAAAACCATCACAGGTCAATATGTACACTTAAAAATGGTAATTAAAATAATTTGGAACACTCACAATATTTAGAACCCATATAACTCGTCTCTAAACTATGTTGGCGTTTCATCAATGTGATGATGTAGAAGTGAAGATATATTCACCACCCAGTGCTCCAAAAATGGCAGAATTCTTCAGTTTAGGAAGTCAGGAACCAGGTGAGTATAGTAGAAGATTTTTATTAACAAAACAAATATTAAAAAACAACGGGTTTCAACCATATACCTTGGTCTTCCTCTGGTGCATGTATCTGTATGTATGAGCAAATGTCCTTATATACCTTCACACATTGCTAAAAACAATACAGGTTTGTTTATTAAACTAAAAGCCCACCACTGTCCATATATAGAGTTGGTACTGCTTTTTCCCACACCACACAACATGGAGGATAGGATATGCTTTCCTTTATAGATGCGGATGACCTTCCAAAGATGGCTGGGCATCTATTCCGGCTCGCAGTAATCCCATGTTTCTATCGATGGCGTCAACTTCCCGTTGACGCCATCGATAGAAATGTGATTATTGCGATGCGGAATCATTAATAAAGTATATATGCCAGTCAGGGTCAGAGTAAGAACCCATTGGGCCTGGTGCTACCAAATACGATGGGCCCAATTACAGAATATAATTGACAGAAACTACTAAAACAGTCATACCTCCCAAGTGTCATGTATCTGATGGAGGTGGTGCTGGAGGGAAACACAAAAGATGTAGCTACCAGAAAACACATGCCCTATGCTAATCTCTCACTTTCATCTTTCAAGTAAATCCATACCCCCTATCGGCAGTGTCTGGTGAAGCAGGATTTCGGTGAGCGGGTTAAAGGTTGGGCTAATGACACAAATCATGTAACCAGAACCTGCAAAAAGGGCAAACATGCCAAAAAGGGGGCGTGTCTGCATTAAGAATTGGAAGGCCAGCCTGGCTTGTATGCATGTCAGGCTGCCTGCCAATCATCCAGACTGGCCAGTTAGGGGCACACTATGCAAACAGCACCCGGAGCTTGGCATAAATGTGTCTAATGATGAGCTCGCTCCATGCTTTCTAAGGACTGTCCCCTAGCACTCACTTGTCTACGCCTCTCTTAACCTACTTACTAGCAGACAGATGCTCCTGTTATACAGTCTGGGACAGTGAAAAGGTAGATGTAGTGAGTGTAGAAGAAAGGGAACATGCCACAGAGTTAGAGAGACTGAAGCAGCAAGAGCATTTGCATAGTGCGCAAAGTCAGCTTTATATTAATGGACCACTATAGTGCCAGGAAAATAAACTCGTTTTCCTGGCACTATAGGGTCTTTAGGTCCCGCCCCACCCTCAGGGTCCCACTCCCTCTGGGCTGAATGGGGAGGAAGGGGTTAAACTCTTACCTTTCTCCAGCGCTGGGCTCCCTCTGCGCTAGGAACTCTCCTCCCTCTTCCGACGTCAGCGCTGAATGCACATGCACAGCAAGAGCCACACCTGCATTCAATCAGTCCATAGGAAAGCATTTCTCAATGCTTTCCTATAGACATTAGCGTCTTCTCACTGTGATTTTCAGAGTGAGAAGTGCGGAAGCGCCTCTAGCGGCTCTCAATGAGACAGCCACTAGAGGCTGGATTAACCTTATTGTAAACATAGCAGTTTCTCTATGTTTACAGCTTTAGGGTTACCCTAGATGGACATGGCACCCAGACCACTTCATTGAGCTGAAGTGGTCTGGGTGCCTATAGTGGTCCTTTAACTAATTTCATTGTCAGCTAGCCCACACAAGTTTTGTTTCCCTACATTTGAAAAGTAGTAAAAATTAGCTTTAAAGGGATTCTCCTTTGCCAGGAAAACATATCAATTTTCCTGGCACTGCAGAATCCTGCAGTGCCCCTCTCTCCCACCCTCCATTCCATGTTGCTGAAAGGGTTAATACCCCTTCAGTGACTTACCTGAATCCAGCGCTGATGTCTTTTGGTGCTGGGTCATGCCAATGTCAGCCGGGGGGGGAGACCTAATGCGCATGCGCGGCAATGGCTGTGCGTGCGCATTAGACCTCCTCAGAGGAAAGCATTATTCATTGCTTTCCTATGGGAATACCAGCGAGGCTGGAGGTCCTTATGCATGTTTTAGGAACCCTGAAGCCCCTCTAGTGGCTATCTGATAGAAAGCCACTAGAGGAGGACTTAACCCTAAAAGGTAATTATTGCCACTTATACTTCAATAATTACACTTGCAGCGTTAAGGGTGCCTGGAGTGTCCCTTTAAGCCTATTCAATGGGCATTGGCCTGGAGCTACGGCTCCATCAGCCCCTATGTTAATCAGGCCCTGAGTACACACTTACTTTCTTTTCAATGGATCCAGCGAAGCAACTCAGCAGTCATATATTTTATGGGTTTTCTCTTGAGTGCACACATTTCCTATTACTAATTATATTTATATGTGCATATATAATGTATAACAAAGTAATTGTTACAAAGTAATTATTTTGGTAGGTGCTGATTGTATATTCCATCCAGTTCCTCTAATAATCAATATTCAATGTAGTGCTTTTTTGTGTTGATTGTTGAGAGTTGATTAAATTTTCCTAAGTGCAAGTGTATACAAAATGCTAACTGTATGGTTTCCATGTCGACTGGATCTTATTTAGCACTTTGCTCCCCAATAGTACCTGTTTGTGCCTTAAACGGACACTCTAATTATCAAAACAACTTTATCTTAATGAAGCAGTTTTGGTGTATAGATCATGCCCTTTCAGTCTCATTTCTCAATTCTCTGCCATTTAGGAGTTACATTATTTCGTTTGCACAGCCCTACCCACACTTCCCCTGGCTGTGATTCACACAGATTCCCTACACACTTTCTGAATAGGAGTTGATTTTTAAACTTATTTTATTGGACCATGTTTTTAATTTAGAAGTTCTTATCTGCTCTGTTTATTGCCCACTAAAGCCTACAAGTTTAAATTCAATTAACAGAGTAGACGATAAAAACTTCTAAAATAAACACACTATGAACACTATGAATTAAACCTTTTTCTATGGAGGCTGCGTGAGTCACAACCAGGGTGTAGGTGTGCTAGGGTTGCATAAACCATTTGATATACTCCTAAATGGCAGATAATTAAGCAGTCAGACTACAGAGGCATTATCTACACACCAAAACTAGAATGCCAAAAGACAAGGTTCTCATGCAGTGGATTTATTTCACAATAGCAATCATTAGGTTAGGAGCTGTCAATACAGTACATTAATAAGTAAAGTCTATGCATTGCACAGCTTTGTTATGTAACTAAAGTCTTATTATTTAATCTAAAATATAGATTGATCTGATATATTGATTGAACTGATATATATATATATATATATATATATTCACACATACACTATATGGATATATAAACAATATATAGATGCAGATTACAAGCACACTATGTATATAAACATAATACATAAGTACATATACACACACTATATGTAGATATACAAACATAATATATAAATAGATACACACACTGTATATAGATATATAAACAAAACGTATAGGTACATATTATACACAGATAATACTATTAGATATATAAACACAATACGTAGGTACATATTCACACAGTTTATCTATAGATTTATAAACTTAATATATAGATAAACATTGTAGACACACACTACATAGAGATATATAAACATAATATATAGGCGCATATACACACATTTACATGTATTTATTTGTGCATACACACACATACACAAACATGCACACATGCATACACACACACTTATATGCAATAGTATGTGGGCATTTTAGGTCACTTTCTTTATTACTAATTCAGGGAGAGCCATCATAAGCATTTATAAGTAAAATTGTATTAGAATAGATAAAATAATAATAATAATAATAATAATAATAATAGTACAGTGGAGAGGAATAAAAGTGCTACTGCAAGAAATGCAACAGTTGCAACACAATATGTACATACACATAGAAATAATACCTTCTAATATACAGGAGCAGGGCAACAAAAAAAACAGTTAGAGTTTAGCAACAAGAACAAAAAAAATTGTAAAAAGTGATGCTGCCTTTAAAAAAAAAAAAAAAATTTATTATAGAAAATCTGAATTTTAAAAGCCCATTCTAAGGTTTGCTACAATTTCTCAAAAGATATAGGAATATATATATATATATATATACACAACATACAAAATACACAATCAAGCGCACTCTCTTATTCACTAAACAATGTAGGATACAGGAATATATAGTTCCAGTTGGTTCCTTTTGCCTGAATTTAGTTTCAATACACTACAATTTGGTGGTTATTGAATAAGCCTCACAATAATCGTATATTTAAGAGTCTGAGTTCTTATTTATTTTTCTAAACCAAATAAATCATATACATACAAACGAAGGATCAGTTCAAATTATACAACATAATGCATAATGTTTCTTTAGGAGAGTGTTCACATTTTTGTCTCTGTAAATAACATTCAGCTGAGACTCTAGCAGTGTCGGAATAAATTTAGGAGCTCTTGTTTACATCCTCCTTACCATTCATTATAACACACACACACTGCAATGAAGCCATTACCCATGACAGCTAACCTACTGAAATTGTCTAAGCAACCTGCTCATCTTAATCAAGTCAATCAAAAATGAAGTGTAAGAGCTGATAAATATGGTTTCAATATAAATCAATGTCCAATCATAATATAAAGCTGGACGTCTTGCAGACAAATGTCATAAATAGTCCCATCCATCCACACGTTACCCTGTAGTGCTCACCTGTGCAGAGAGGTAACCAGCTGCAGTGAGATTTGATGTGTAAAGTTTGCATACATTAGCACAATCATAGCTCACAAAAGTGAACAACAGTCATAACAAATACCTTTAAAACCCCCACTGCAAGTGGCATATTAAATTACATCTGGGCTTATGCACTAAACAGTGAGTCGTAGTGAAGTGAGAACTGTCTTAGAGAACTTTCGAAACTCTAACTACAATTGCAGAGTTGTATAAAAACAGAATTGAAACAGAAGTTACCAAAAATTAGTGTATTGTGAATAGACTGCCAATAATATCCGCATATTCCTTGGCACTTCTTGTAGTTTATTAGTTACTAATCTAAACAAAACTGCCTTTTTAAAATTAATATAAAAATATTATTTTCCTGGGATGTTTGTCTTTTTCTTATACTATTGTATTATAGTTATTAGAAAATTATAGCATATTTATAATATTTAATATAGAAAACAATTTGTATTCATGACTGCATAGTACATTTCCATAGGTGTCAATGAGAGAACTGTATTCACTTACCATAGTTAGTTATTACAGATTCCAACCCATAATGTCTCAATAGTTATATAGAAATAGTATGATAGAAATTTCCATACGTATTTTATATTAGTTGTAAAATCTAGCTTTAATACACTTACTAGATGTAATCCAAAATTTTTATTCACATTTTTTTTTTTTTACCTCCTTATTTTCTAAAACAGAACACTGGGATACATAAACATTAACAGAATAAAATATATTTATTTATATATATATATATATATATATATATATATATATATATATATAAATATATATATATATATATATATATATATATCTAATTGTCTAAGCAACGTGCTCATCTTAATCAAGTCAAATAATATATATTACATCCTCACATACTTATGCTAATAGGTACAGATCCATTTTTTCTTTTTTTTTAAACTGCACCTCATTTAGAACCCCATATTTTAATGCCAAACAATATCAAAGATTTTCGTTTGGTTTTTTTTACAGCTAAAAGAAACTGTAAAACATACATTAAAAAATACATACTTTTTTATATTTGGTTATCACTGGCAGTTGGCATTCAGGGTAAAATTAAGTGAATCAACTTCTTAAACTGTGTTATTATTAATATTTTTATTTTGTATTGTTATTTATTTATTGTCAAGCATAACTAATCTTCACACAGGGTTTTCCGTATTCATCACAAAATAAGGTCAGCCTCACAAAGAGTTAAATTGTTTCCATATGTCTACACTTTTTAAGCAGTAGCCTTTGGCAAGTTTGAATCCAACCGCAGCTACTACCTGTGTGTTCTACTGTGTGTATGTAAGAGCTTGTGTCTATACGGAACATTGACATCTGAACTACATCTCATTTTAGATAAAGTAATTGTTATGTCTCTGAGAGGGGGAGGGGGTGATATTAATTCTGAACAATTATAGCTCTTAGAATGCACCCTCTTCCCTCTCCCCTCTGCCTATTATACCCACTTCCCCTCTTGATCTACTCGGTAAAGACCACGTCAAACAATATTCAACAGATGGGAATGCAAACTTTAGTCTACATAGCCAGGCAAATTAGTCAGACGCCCACCTCCAAGTTACTTAATTCTGGTGCTTATGATACACAAAGAGCACACGATAGTTTCACCAATCCCTTCAGACAAGAAAAAAAAGGGGGGAAAAACAGATCCTTGTCTTTATATCAATGAGGTTGGAGTTCTTGTTAATAAAGGATCTTTTCCCATGATGCAGTCTGATAAGGATTGGCCTACATGTAGCCTAGCAAGCCACTGCTGATGGGTTTCTGATTAGGTGTCTTATCTCCCCATTGAGCTGCATCTGATGAAGGTTGCTGACAGCATAATGGCTGGGAAAACATCCGACAGTTCCATAAAATGGCAACTATGTTATGATATGTCAGCCAGGACATGGTGGATGGTAAGTTGGCAATGATAACATTGTTTTTTTTTATTCTTCCGTAAGTTCCCCCTTTGAACTCCTCCTTCATTGTTGCGATGCACGTGTTTTAAAGTTCAGCGTCTGTGCAAAGTCCCAGGCTCAAGTTCAGAGACTCTGCAGTGCCTGTATCAGTGTGTTAGATAGGATTTCTCTCCTCTATTGTTGATGAGGTTTTGGCCTTCCTTTGAAAAAATACAGCAAAGACAGTCTAAGTTTTTTTTTCCCAGGGAACAGAAAAATGCTAATTTTGTAGTGCGCGCCAAGATGAATGATGTGTGAGTACAGAAGTGCAAGTACTCACAAACGAAAAGAAAGCTGCTATGTCATCACACTGTTGTCTAATTGTTCTTGAGTTGGTCTTAAAACAGAGCAATCTGCCTTCTTTTTTTTCTGTTTTTCCGCGGAATAATTATTGTAAAAGTGTATTGTGTCACGTTGCAGCTTCCTAATCAGTATGCGATTGTCCTCTACGCTTGTCTTTAATTTGGAGTCCTCCTTCCTTACAGTGAATACACTAATTGGAACAACCACCCATTAATATTCTGCCTGGCATAATTAAATTTAGTTAATGAGGCTATGCAAATTCCATCCTTTTTCGTCTCTTTGTTTGCTAGAGCGTCCCTTTTTGTTCATATTAATGCAGCTGTGATAGGGAGGGTGGATCTTCACCAATCTATATGTCATCGGTGGAGGAAAGCAACTCAGAAGTTTCATTGCTGGGGAAAGTAGGACCAGTCACAAGTGTCTGCATAAAGAAAACCCTTTCTTTCTCTATCCAGTGCTACACAAGATTTTTTTTTTCTTCTTCAGATACTGATTTTCTTGTATACAGACAATAGTCCCTTGTATGCAACAACGATACCATGAATGGGGAAACTTCTGACTGATATTTCATTATGAATATTAATTTAATTATTGTGCTTCTTTGTCTGTCAGTGTTTTCATTCTTTTCATTTCGTACTCGATTGCCTTTGCTTGTTTCTCTGGATAATTATTATCCTTGCTGCACAGAGTATCTTTTCACAATTAGTATAGTTCTGAAACAATAGACACTTTCTTAGGCTCTGGCTGGGATGGAAATCACCAATGGACAGTGAGATCTAGTGTCAAGACAGGCAGTAGTTCTCTCTCATTATGGTTGATGCCTTCCCACTCTACAACGGAGATGGATTTTGTTTGTCTTCAAAGAATTTAGATTATTTTTTTATAAAGGTGGATGGTGGGGAAAAAAAAAACCTTCTGAAGATTGCTGTGTAAATTATAGGGGAGTATTGATTTCACGTTTCTTTTCCTCTCTACCTAACGTGTGCTGTTCGTGAATAATCTTGTCTTCTTCCCGAATGCAGTAATTCACAAGCCCCAAATAGAAAACAATGTTAGTTACTTCTAACTTTGGAAAGTAATCAGACTTGCTGCACCTTACAGTCTGTAACTTTACTGTACTGAGCTAATGAAAACTGACATGAAATACTGTAGGGGGCTATATTTGGTGAGTTCACAAGGCTTTCTATTGATTTTATGCATTGCCTAACTATAGTATAACTGTCTTGATAGAGAATGCACGTTAATATTGTTCTATGTGTTTATTTTTGTGTTTACTTTAGACATTACTGTGCATGTCTCATTTGTATTATTTTCTAAAGTGCTACCATAAATTAATCGTCTGTCGTAACGTGCTTCATTAGTAAATGATATTTATTGTAAAAAGCCTCTGAACGTGCACTGTTATGATGATTATTATGATTGGAGTCATGTGCCTACTGTTTAATCATGTTTGCATCTGTTGTGCCAAATATGTAAAATAAAGATGGCTGCTTCCATGTGTATGCGTAATACATCATTTTGGACTGAGTTGTGGTTGGCAGCAGATTATTATGACCATGTATAATGACCAAGAATTGATATGAATCATGTTATTTATAGTTTGCAAGCTAAGCTTTGAATGAAAACTGATTAGTGAGCAAATTAGTTTTTATACTTTTATAATGTAAAATTAAGTATGATTTTCTGTTTCTAGTAATAGTTTATTGAGAAATGCAGTAATGTTTCCACTGAGATTTATTAGCTGTGTGTTAAAAAGCTTGTGTGCATTAGCTGTATTAGAATATACCCCCCTTACCCCTGAAAACAAAATGTTTTTAATTCACCTGTATTTCTAAAGATATTTCCTACTAGTACACCTACATTGCAAGTATTTAGCTTATAGGTATAACTCTTGATAAATACAACAAACTCTAGAGCATATTACATGTGTGATTTATATTAATAATTGGTACAAATACATTAAAACGTTATTCTAAAATAATATTACTTTTACTGCCATAATCTTACATTGTTTCATAATAATCTGGTTCATCAAGCTCGACCTTTAAAACCTATTCCTTTACGTTGTTGATCCAAAAGAAGGCAAACAAAACCCAAATTGAAGTGATTTCCAATTTGCCACAAAAAGGGACAAAAATTCCTTCTTGACTCCATAATAGCAATCAGATTTCTCCTTGCAACAGCCTGTGCACAAACGTATTTATTGTGTCCTTGAATATTCTGTTTTTGCAAAAAACAACTGTCTATTTTAAAATTATCTACAGAATATGAAAATATTCTTGTGTGTATATATATATATATATATATATATATATACATACACACACACACACAAACACAAGATTATGGCAGTAATGTAAATATATTCACACATATATAAGTGCATACAAGATATAATATAGGTAAGTGGGGGGATATATTAATTTTCTACACTGTATCCTTACTACATCTTTAGCCCATCCCTGTGACTAATGCACTTTTATGGTTTAGGGCTGCAGCAATCAATCAGCAAGGGTCGATTTAATCAGCATATTTAATAACATACCTCCCAAGTGTCGTGTTGTAGGAGGGACAGTCCCTCTTTGAGACTCAAACCTCTGACCCGCTTTTCTAACCAAATGTCATTCTTTATTTGGGCAATCAGGTACTTTAAAAACTTTGTGTTTATCAATAGGATATGGAAAGCAGGAAAGAGAGGTTACAAAAGTGTATTCTCACCTGTAAAGTATACATATGAATAAATAACCATAGCATTAATACAAGTTGAGGGTTGACTTATTTCAATTGCATCTTATTTGTTCACTAAGACAACAGCATTGCGTCAAACATAGATGGAACTACCAAAAATCACCTATATTAAAAGTATACACTAAACTTCGACAGTTTAGTGAGAAATATGTAGTGCTGCAAATGTGTTGTTTTTTTATTTTTTGTTTTATTTTTATTTTATTGATTTTTTAGAAATTTTCTAATAGAAAAGAGTTTCTCCAATCTTCCAAATTTTCTTTCCTGTTTCTCATGTAAAGCTGAAGAGTGTCAATGACCAAATCTAAATATACACTTGGACAACTTTATACCTTCAAAATATCAACTTTACTTCACACCAATAAATCATTTCCAAACTGTCTATTTCCAATCTTACACTACATACATTTTGCATAACATATACCTATTTCTAATGTATGTGTTTGTGACATAATGCAGCATTTGTTCCAAACACGTCTGAAAAGAATATCGCTAAGATCTGCCAATCCACATAAATAGTTATTCCCTGGGGTTTAGCTAGAAATTGTGGAGAGTTGATAAAAGAGTTGCACATGCACATTTTGGGCCAAAATATCCTATGTCCTAATATCCTATCATGTACTGGATTCACTCTTAAACCCAGTTTTTAATTCAGCTTGGCTATTACGCTCTATAATTTGCAATGAATAAAAACATACCGGGTTATGCACTAAACAGTGAAGTGTTGTTAATAGAAACCCGAATTACAAATAAAAAACCAAAATAGATGCACTGTAAAAATTCCCCAATTCACCTGTTTGTCCAGTTCAGCTTTGACCAAAAAGTCTAAATTCCCTTAACAAATTATAGATAAGTATATATATATATATATATATATATATATATATTATAATAAATAGAAAAGCTGACAGCCATTTCAATGTTTTTACAAGTCTGGTACATTTTCATATTTCTCTAAGCCAACAGGGTAATAGAAATGTAAAACATAAAAAGATGTAACAGAAAGTTGCATCATATTTTCGACAACAATTTAGTAGAAAATTGTGGTTGGTCGCAAATTGCAAGAATAATTGGAAAATGTTGGCCGATATTTATTTCTATTACTACATACTTTAGTATAGACTTTAGATTAGATACTGTATATATGCATATTTATTTATATAGTGTATGTATGCATACTATATAGTGGAATACAGTAGGTTTATGGGCTACTGCACAGTGTTTGTCTTGGTATTATTAGTATTGTTGTTATTAGTGTTTACATAGCTCCAACAATTATAGACAGACGATATTTAAAGGTGAAGAAGGCCCTGCTCATACAAGTTTGCAATATTTACAATTAAATTTAAGGCAAGAGTAGCAGAATGGGAAACATAGGTTATTTAGAGAACATTTCCAGTTTGGATTATCTTGAATTTTCATAGTAAAGGAGGAGACTATATTTAAAAGAAGAAAAACTACCACAACAAGAGGACATAGTCTTAAATTAGAGGGACAAAGGTTTTAAAAATAATATCAGGAAGTATTACTTTACTGAGAGGGCAGTGGATGCATGGAATAGCCTTCCAGCTGAAGTGGTAGAAGGTAACACAGTAAGGAGTTTAAGCATGCATGGGATAGGCATAAAGCTATCCTAACTATAAGATAAGGCCAGGGACTAATGAAAGTATTTAGAAAATTGGGCAGACTAGATGGGCCGAATGGTTCTTATCTGCCGTCACATTCTATGTTTCTATGTTTGTATATGAGGATTTGAGGTAAAGTAGGAATTTTGACATTTACATGCAATTATCTTATACTACTACTATTGTAGTGTATATATAAAATATGAATGGATATGTGAATGGATGTAAAATTTATGAGGACACATAGCGTATATGGTTTCACGGTGCATACAGATTTCTAATGTACGTATTTGTATTGTGTATTACTACATGCCTTAGATACAATTTAACATACTGCGGTACAGTGCATGTGGATATATAGCACCAAAGGGCTTGCATGTGTCAGATGTCCACCAACCAATTAATCTCCTCAAGGCCAGGCAAGTTAGAAATATATACTGAACAACATTTATTGGATAACATAACACTGCTTAACCAGAGACTACCACAAAGTCTTTTATTTGAGCATAAATTAAAACATGACAATATGTTAAAACCTACACGGAAATTTAGAAATAAATTATTGCATGATGGTGTAATATTGTAGAAAAAGTCACAAATGCATCCTGACAGATATTAAATTATTCAACCTGCCTTGCTAAATCTCCCTGGTATGTCAAATATTTATTTTTATAAACGGCAACACTACTGTAACTTTTCTTTTATAAAAGGCACAATTGTTTTACAGGCAGAAAATGTAACGCTACACATTATTGGTCATAGTCTAGGAATCATTGATTACATTTATTTATTTTTGGACTAAAAACGTAAAACCACACTTTAGAATGATATTTATTGAAAATACAAGTTGGAGATAGGAAGTGGATATTGATTGATGGGACGTATTTGGTGAAAATGTCCACATGTGTAACTACTCTAAATAAATATACAATACATCACCACTAATTGACTAATCAACCTGGGATTGTGTGGTAGGAATTAAGTATTTTAGGATTATACAATTATCACAAGCAACGGGGATGAAATACATGATTACTTGGTTCTTCTTCAGATTGTTGTAAGTTTATTTTAATAATAACTTAAATATTATTAACCAGAAACAGACTGACCGCTTGGTAGATATAGAGTGATATAGACTGGTTCACAAGACCTTCTAATCCAGTGGTTTCCAAACCAGTTCTCAATTCACGTCCAGGGTTTAGGGATTACCCAGTTGTGTCTAAGGTATTTTTAGAAAGAAAAAAGAAAAACACCTTGACACAGCTGGGTAATCCCTTAATCCCAGACTGGTAGGCGTGCCTCGAGGACTGGTTTGGAAACCACTACTCTAATCTCTATGTTCCCACCCATCTCGCCCTGATTTTACTGTTTTTATCTTTTTATTTTGTAAACCTCTATGGTATATTGGGACATGTCCTCATCATGTGTTCATCGTACTCAAATAAGATTATTTTCTGATATATTACTGATATCTATGTCAGTAATAAATACCCTGCTGGTACAGTTGTGGAATATTCGATCTAGGTTAATCTTATTGCATAATACTTATTTTTCTACTAACTTGTAAATGTTTCAATAAACAGTAAAGCACTAAAAAAAGGCAGGTAATGGCAGAAAATCTAAGGAATATTCTAAAGATTGTTAACACATATACATGTCACTAATGCCAGATGATGACATTTCGGTGGAAGGAGGCTGTCAAGCTTTACCAACACATTGTTATTATTATTATTATTTATAAAATGCCAATAAATTCTGCAGCACTGTACAATGGGCGGATTAACAGACACGTAATTGCAACCAGACGAGTAGGACGCACAGTAACAGAGGGGTTGAGGGCCCTGCTCGATGAGCTTACATGCTAGAGGAAATGGGGTATAGCGACACAAAAGGTAAGGGGAGGGGTAGAAAAGTAAGTTGCAAAAAAATACGGACAGAGAATAGACGTAAGTCTTTGGCAGAACAA